AGGTGTGCCTAGGGTCACTCCCTAGCCCTAGCAGTCACCAAACCAGGAACATGAAGGGGATGGTATCAGCAGCAGATGCACTCAACTCTTACTAATAGCATTCTTGAAACACCCCTCAGCAGCTGGGCTCAGGAATGCAGGACTGTAAGTGCCTAGCATGGGTTAATTTCAACTGATCTTAACTGGCCACATGCATACCTACAGAGCTACTGACCCTTGGACAATGACATGGGATCTATTTATTGAAAATAAGTGACATTCTATAACCACGGATCCATCAGGAAGTATCAGCCCCATTTAGTAATAATCATTGAATTTATGATTTTCATTTGGTTTTGGTGGAGCCTATGGGTGAGTTTTAAAAGTTAGGGCTAGTCATATAGTTAGAAAGTGCCTATGTGACCAGCTCACTTTGAGAGACTCACCACCACCACCACCACAACCACCATGAAGAAAATGTGAGCTTCCTGGTACCAGGGTGCTTCACGTGCACACTGGTGGTGGTTTGAGGCCTGGAGACAATGTGCAGACTTTGCAACTCAACATCGGGAGGACAAAGAATCATGCACCTGTGATATCAGGACCCTTTTCAATGCCTCTCCTTCTTCTGTGTGGCTGTACTGCATCCTTTGCCTGTGACAGAGCTGTTCCATGATTATAAACTGTTTGATTCCTGTGGATTCTTTCAGCAATTGAACACTTGGGATGATTAATGGGTGATTAATGCAGTGAAGATGAGAAGGGACTTGAGATACAAGCCTCTGAGGCCTGCAGGATGCTTCTGATGGGAGAATGTCAGCGTTTGGTCCTTGAAGCACACATCTTTGTACGTGGGTGTGATGAAGTACAATACTTCAGTTCTGCTGAACTTTAAGAAAGCACTTCCAGAAAAACAACAGGAATATGTTCTGGTTTGCTCCAATGGAGACATATTTCTAACTTGACAAAGACTATGTCCATCCAAGGTTGCCGGATGTGTGTGCAAACAGAGAAGGACCACAGTGTTAATCCTCATTTCATTTTCGTTTTCCCACAAATTCCTTTATTTTGACCCCATACCTCTTAGAAGCAGCATTGTGGTTTCATACATGTAGTCTTTTCTCCACAATTAGAAGGTTATAGACCCTTTTGAAATCTCAAAGTGCCATGTGCAAATAATGCTGGGCATAAATTAATTAAGGTCACTGTTATTGAAGAAAGAATCAAGGTAAACCCATGTTTGCCAGGAGTTACAACAGCACCAACAAGAAAACAAGGCTTATTAGAAAGTCAGTTCACTGGGAAAGAAAATGTATGTGTGTGTATGTATACATGCCCATGTACATGCGTGTGTGTGTGTACACACTCATAATTCTCACACACCACACTTGTGGAAAAAATATTCTACAATAAAGAATGAAACAAAATATAATCACTTTATTCTTAGCTCAAGGTTTGAGCTGTACCTAAATCCACACTCTACCACCTGCTGCTATAGCCATGAACAAGTTACTTAACTGCTCTGAGACTAGTTTCCTCACCTATAAAATGGCAACAATTTTTACTGAGCAAGGTTCTGATGAGGATTAAAAGAGAGAATGAATGTACTGTTCATGTTATTAAATGATAAACACCACTGACAGATTTCCAGAGGAGCAATTTTGACTAAAATTTGCTGACTTCCTTTTCTCCCTCTGAGGGCCTATGCTGTACAAAGAGAAAGGATTAGAAAGGGGAAATGGAAATCAGGAAAGGGCCAAGGAATAATGAACTGTTTGACAATGTGGGGAAATAGCATTAACTTAGCTCCACTTTCTGCACTAGAATAACACCTTCACGACCCACCAGGAAATCTCCTGTCACTCCACAGACAGAGGCAGCTAAAACATGGATTTCCTGACCCCAGAGTCCTACCCTTCACCATCACTTGCCACAGAGTCAGAGACAGGAGGGCCACTTGCAGGGAATGTAGTGGAAGGTTGGACTTAAAGGATCACTGGAGTTCCTTGTCATGATGTTTTATAAACTACAGAGTGCCGTGCCACTCACACACTTACTCACTCTGATGTTTACAATTATCCTTAGAAAAAGGCATAATTAAAGAATCTAAGTTGTCCAAAGTGATCATCAAGTAAGGGCTCAATCACGATTCAGACCTAGTTCTTCCCATTAGAGTGGTTTTCCCCTTCATTCCAACACAATGGCAGGTGCTGCTGCTGTCCTGCCCTAGTTGTCCCCAGCCAACTAGAGTGCACCAGCAGGGACACCGGACAGTTTTCGGCACACTGACTAGTCCTGTGTCAGATGCTTGCGTTTCTTGTTAACTCTCTCTGAGGGCTTTCTTGGAACCAGGGGAGCTTGCAGGGAATGTAACCTGGAAAGGTGGGAAGAGGGAATTTAATGTCTCCCCCCCACACCCTGAGGCAACCCTCAACCAATAGGTGTCAGGCAGGAGTGGTTAAGTGCCAGCCTCTGTCATGTTCTATGTGGATTCCAGTGGGGCCCCCAGCCCGAGTGAGCCCAATTGCCCACAGTAGTAATAATCCACTCGTAGAACATTCCCTTTATTGGCTTCCCCCCTCCTGTCTCACATTCCCCACTTCCTCAAGTGTTCTTCCTGGAATCGCCTCCTATGTAAACAACCAGCACTAAGTCTTCAAGTAAGTCTACTTTTGGAGAAACCCAAACCAAGACAAATTCTAAAATTTATGTGGCTGCTGCTACTGTTGTTATTGCTTTTAACAATCTCACCCCTCATATAGAACAACGAAAGACCCCAAATAGCCAAAGCAATCCTGAGCAAAAAAAAATAAAGCCAGAGGCATCACACTACCTGACTTCAAATTATACTACAAAGCTATTGTAACCAAAACAGCAACGTACTGGTATAAAAATAGACATTCAGACCAGTGGCGTAGAATCGAGAACCCAGAAATCACCCCTCAAGCTTACAGCCATCTGATATTGGACAAAGGCAACAAAAATCTACATTGGGGAAAAGACTGCCTCTTCAACAAGTGGTGTTGGGAAAACTGGATATCCATATGTGGAAGAATAAAACTAGATATGCACCTCTCACCATACACTAAAATCAACTCAAAATGGATTAAAGACTTAAGTATAAGACCTGAAACTGTAAAATTCTAAGGGAAAATATAGGTGAAACACTTCAACAACTAGGTCTGGGCACAGACTTTATGAACATGAGCCTGAAAGCACAAGCAGTAAAAGAAAAAATAAATGAGACTATATCAAACTAAAAAGCTTCACAGCAAAGGAAACAATCAACAGAGTGAAATGACAGCCTACAGAGTGGGAGAAAATTTTGGCTAACTATGCATCTGACAAGGGATTAATATCCATAATATACAAGGAACTCAGTAATTATACAGTACCAAATAACTCAATTAAAAAATGGGCAAAGGAGCTGAATAGACATTTTTCAAAGGAAGACATACGAATGGCCAACAAGTACAAGAAAAAATACTCAAAATCACTAGTCATCAAGGAAATGCAAATTAAAACTACATTGAAATACCACCTCACCCGTTAGACTGGCTATAATCAAAAAGACAGTGAATAACATATGCTGGCGAGGGTGTGGAGAGAAGGGAACACTCCTGCACTGTTGGTGGGACTGTAAGTACAACCACTATGTAAAACAGTATGGAGATTTCTCAGACAACTACAGATAGATCTTCCATATGATCCAGCAATCCCACTTCTGGGTATATATCCAGAGGAATGGAAATCATCATGTCAAAGTGATACCTGCACTCCAATGTTCATTGCAGCTCTTTTCACAATAGCCAAGACATGGAACCAACCTAAATGTCCATTGATGGATGATTGGATAAGGAAACTGTGGTATCCCCCCCCCCCGGAATACTACTCTGCCATAAAAAAGAATGAAATACTTCCATTTGCAACAACATGGATGAGCCTGGAGAAACTTATGCTGAGTGAAACAAGCAAAGCACAGAGGGATAAATACCGCATGTACTCATTCATATGTGGGAGCTAAGAGAGAAAGAAGGAAGGAAAGAAAGACCACAGTAGTACATTGGTCTTACAGAGGGAGGGAACATTCCTTGGGCTACAAAGTGGAGTAGGGGGGAAAGGGGGAGGGAGAGGGAGCTTGGGGATAATTCGGGGGGGGACATGATGTACAAATGCAATTTGTGGTAATGGGTATGCTGACAGTATGAATCTGGCCCTCGCATCATGGGCATGAGGGGTGACAATTAGCTTTGTATCTCATGAATATTCATAACCAATAAAAATAAATAAATAGATAGATAGATAGACGGGTTAAAAAAAATAATTACATTACATTCCCTCCAAAAAAAAAAATAGTAATAATGACCACAGATGGCTGATCAGTCAGACCCTGATAATAACACTGTCAAGACTTTAAATGGTGAAGATAACATTCTGCACAAAGCTGCAAGTCACTTCTCCAGTTTTGCAAAGACTCCGTCTTCCAGCAACTGCTCTAATTTCAAAGCAGGTGGCAATGGCTTTCAATGGGCCCTATTAACACAGTTACAGATCCAATTTGGACTTCCTAGCCATTAAACAATAGATTTTAGAATATATTTTAAAAGTAGAGTATTATTTCTCAATTCAAGAAAATAACTGAGTTCATAATGGTTTTTAAAATCCTACAAATATGGTTAAAGCATTCACCACACTATAGAAAAAAGCAATCATCTCAATGTGCATTCTAGATTTATCAATTTTGCATACATATTTTAGGAAGATTTCGAGAGATTTCAGTATAATATCTAAAAATGACCAATCACTTCATTTTAGTAAAAAGAGATTCCCAGCTTCTGGTAGTTGACTATAACTATGGGCCGAGAGTGTTTATATTTTAAAATATATATGTGTAAACCTCTCACATGAAAACCAACAGTAGCGCAACCCACGGAGGTGTGACGGGTACTTACTCTGCACTTTGTCCGGGTCCAGAGATGCCAGACTGGTAAGTTACATGCAATAAATTCACATAACGTGTATTGCTTTATAGACTCTAACCATTTATTTAACAAAATGCGAATTTCTGATATCTAGTACTTTTCTACATTTAAAATTGCAGGAAAAGAGACTCATATTCTCCACTATACATTATTACAAAAGAGTTCATTATAAATTTAGATCAGTTCAAACACTCTAATGATTAAGATTCATCATCCTTTAGTGAAGTGAGGTGACATTTTCTCGTGAAAATGTTCATGTTTCTTTGTCAGAGGAGATATGTTACTAGCACAACCTTCTCTTCACCCCGACCTGCCCATCAAGAGATGTTTTTTACCAGCAAAACAGGTGGAAGTCCATTTCTCTATTTTGGTTCCCAAGACAAGTTTAAGTTCTTTTAATTTAGGAAAGAACTCAGACACATATAAACCAAAGGGTGGATTTTTTTTCGTCCTCTACTCACACATTGCTCTATAAAGTTGAGCTTTTCTTATTGGTTTTGCTCATGTGATGATTGCTGTGCATGTGGCTATTGTTAGTGTGGATGTGAGGGGGGGCTTGTTGAATAATGTATAGCACCCAAAGGGAAGAACAACAGACCCCCCAAATTTGAATTAGTGTTCTTGCAAACTCCAAAAGCCAAGGATCACTTTTGCCTTACAGAATCCGGGGGCTCTATCCCCATGTGCAAAGTACATTTTCCAGGTTTCTCCAGGGCAAACGCAGGGTGAACCCCCTCATGAAACCTGTGCCTAATGATGAAGAGCAACTGTCCACTTTCAGCATTTATGAACAGGAGTCTCTGGTTGTTGTAGTCCAGCAGGATGCCCACTCTGGCTGGACGCTCAGTCACGTGAACATCACTCACAATGCCACTGTAGAAGAACGCATATCTGAAATGAAACAGATTGGGAAATAAAAAATTTTGGAAATCTTAAAGAACTTGATAAGGAGAATCACTTGGAAATAACGAATTTTTCAGTCATTAACTTCGATTCACAATACTGAGTTGCAATAACGTTGATCCAAATACTTGAGCCAGATCCCTCCTAAATGCTCAAATGCAAAGCTCATTCCAACAGATGAGCATTTTTAATAATCTTGCCCCTTCTACACTCACAGGCAGTCCCAGAATAGCCAACATAAGCCTCCCTGGTGATTTTTCCCAACGTTCTAATTCTTCCCAGCTGCCCACATGTTTTAACTACCGCATTCATGGTGTGTCATTCTTTTGAATAAAACTCCTTTGAGGCTGCCGTGTATTTTAAAAAGTACTGCAGGCTTACCTTCCATACAATGTATTAATTTTACAGTTTAAAAAATCTATAGGTAACTTATGTAAGGGCCTTTATGAAGTTTAAGAAAGATTTCATTATTTTTGCCAATTTCATCCCTTGTACACACTCCCCCTGCCCCAAACCTGCTTTCCTTTTCATCTCCTCAATGTTCTCCCACAGCCTTGCAGCCAGGGGGTTGCCTTTGATTTCTCTCCTCAATTCGAATAGATTCCACTTAACCAGCATTCATTGGGCATATGTGTGAATCCCCCACTTTACTGGGCACTCTGGGGGAGATGAAGGACTGTAGAGGACTGGCCTTGCTCTCTGGGAACCCATGCAGAGAGGGGCAGGAAGAAACTTAATGACTTGAACACGGACCAAAGCTGAGAATCCATCTCAGAGCACAGACTGTAAAAGTGTTGACGAAACACATTTAGTGAACCTGTTTGAGTTATGAAAGAATAAGCTGAAGGCCAGGCTGGGAGAGAGAAATTGCTGACTGGAAAAGCTAAATTGTTCTGTGCAAAAATGTAACCCAAGTTTGGTGTTTTCTCCTAGCAGTCCGAGAAACTGAGGATGGGGCCCTGAAAGCAGGGGAAGGGAAGAAATGAGAGGTGGAAGAGAAGGAAAGAGATGACAGAAAGATCTGGAGATACGGTAGGTCTGAGTGGTGGGAGTACAGTGACATGGTGGCAGTTTGGGGCCCATGAGTCCAGGGGAGTGGCTGGTCTGGCAGGGAGTGCCAAGGACCTTTAAGAGCTGTGCCATAGCTTATGGCCCAGAAGCTCAAGTGCAAGTATTTAGGGGATCACAGGTCAGCAACCCCATTGCAGACAGAAGCTCTCGTGCAAGGGCAGATGTTCGCAGTGATTGGGAGAAAAGCCAGACTTCTGTGAAGGTGAAGGCCTTCTAAGTGCCCTGCTGAGAGAGGTGACAGAGCGTCATGAAGGAACCTGCAGGGCAGACAGACGTTTCAGGGGGCAACAATGTGGAGCAGCTGCGGGGCTGGGGCTTTCACCGATGGCTTTGGGAGCATCAGTCTGAGATAGGCTCAGACTCAGCCACAAAGAAGGGGCAGGACTTGAATAGGTGGAAGAGAAGGAGAAAGAGACCCACACAGGGACGGCAATGACAAGGGGGCTGAGGAAGCCTACATGTGCTAGAGAACATCGCCATCTGCCTGATGAGTCTGGAGGGGCCATGTGAGTGACTTTTAGGATAAGTGCATAGATTAAGTCAGTCAGAGGCCAGGCTCTAGACCTGCCCTGTCTAATACAGTGGCCACTAGTCCCATGTGGCCACTTAAATTAAAATTAAATAAAATTTACAGGGCCGGCCTGTGGCTCACTTGGCAGAGTGTGGTGCTGACAACACCAAGGCAAGGGTTAAGATCCCAGTGCCGGTCATCTTTAAAAAAAAAAATTTAATTAAATTTAAAATTCAGTTTCTCAGTCCTATTAGCCACGCTTCCAGTGTTTAATAGCCACTTGTGACACCATTTTTCTATTATTGCAGAATGTTCTATTGCATAGTGCTGGTCTAGAGGGTTCTGAATGCACAAACGAGCCATTTCCCTTGCCCTGTTTGGAAGGTCCCTGGTCCCCACAGGCCCAGCACTGGTCAGTCCTTGAGCTAAACCCCATGATAGAGGCCCAGGAGGGAAAGACATTTGTAGAAACTTGGCTTCACCAGTTCTGCAGGACCCAAAATCTGCCCGGCCCTGAACCTGCCTTCGTTTCCTACTGAGCACATGAGTTCCTTCACCAAGCTAACCCGGGCCTGAAGCCAAGCCCATTTGCCCAGGGCCTGACTCCCTGCTCAGCTCTTGCCTGCCCTTCTTTGGGACTGCCGGTCCCTGTTCAAGTAACACCAGCAAAACCCTGGATCTGCCTGTCCAAGGGCCCCCACGCCCTTGAATCTCACCGCTGGCCCAGACTCGGCCCAGACCCCTTTCAACACTGTAGCTGCTCCCCTCAGGGCTCCTCTTGCCCTGGCCTGGTTATGTTCTTTCTGGCTTCCCCTCTTCAACGTGCCCTTCAGGGGGTCCCACCTGAGTTCTGACATAGCTGGAGATGTTTGTAGATTTTTGAGCAGAAAAGGAAGGGGCATGATGAAAACAATGTTTTCAAAATATTTTCCACTTAGACACATGTGCTAGCTGGGAGTGGGTAGAGACTTGAAGCACAGTACAGGCAGGGTGGCTGCTGATGAAATTGGGAAAGGATGTTCAGACGTCTTGATCTACGATGGCAAAGTTAGGAATTCTCAGGATTCTCCTGAGACTATCTCAATATCTCCTTTCCAATTGTGACATCTTAAAGCTCAGATTCTGCATGAGTAGAATCAAGATCAATGTAGGTTGGTGTAAAATCATTAAGGCAGAAAAAGTGGAAAACCTAGGAGGGTCTGCCCCAGCCATTCCCCCAGTGCTCTAAAGGACAGGGGTGCTCTGTGTGAAGCCCTTGAACCTGAAATGAAGGCATTTGAGACCCGACCTCTCTGCGCTGTGACCACACAGGCTTACATACTCTTTTGTCCAGAATCTATGGAACCCACCCTGGGCCTGAAAGTGCCAAAGACCAAAGTTGTAGGTTGAACTTGTCAACAAAATATATGATTCTGTTTTCTAGAGTCTAGAAATTTGTTATTGGAGATTATTCTTTGGTCTAGATTTTTAAGGGTTCAAGTGCCTAACGGCATTTTCATGAAATTAATATCTAGTTTTGGCTCTAAATCTACTGAGTCTGAGTTTGAGTGATTTCAAACTCTGGGCAGGGGCTGGGTCCTTAAGTATTGCACAGTGCTGAATATCAATTAGTCATAATTGCTCTGACTTGATGAAATGTGACTTTAAATAGTGCTTGGAGATGGCATCCTTATGAAACATCTCAGAGAATCAAACTGTCAAGTAGGATGCAGGCAGAAACGTGCAGCCAGAGATATGCAAAATCCCAATCTGTGGGCCTTTCTGGGAACTTGCAAGCACGGAAGGCTTCCTTTTTAAAGCACTTCATTTGAATAATGCTGCACATTTGTATGATACTTTACAATTTCAAAGCTCTTCCCTGTACCTGATTTCATGTGATCTTCACAACTCCAAAAGGTAGTAGGCCAAGCACTATTGTCCCCTGCTGAGACAGATGAAGCATATAAGGCATGCTCAATGGGTTAACCAACTTTTGGTGAGCAGCCAATAGGAGACTAGTTGAGGATGGAGCCAGGACCAAAATCGGATTTCTGGCTCCCTGTCCAATGCTGTCTCTATTAGACCATCCTGTGAGTATGTTCAGATCATAACATGCTTGATTGATCTCTCTGAGACTAACACAGATTAATGGCTTTTTCACATCAACCAACTAAACAATATGAATAACAGACCAAGGGCTTGCAAATTTTTTCTGTAAAGGGACAGACAGTAAATATTTTAGGACTTGAAGGTCATTTGATCTCTGTCAGTGCTGCCATTGTAGTGCAAAAGTAGCCATAGACAACACGTACAAATGAGCATGACTATGTCCCAATAAAACTTTATTTACAAAAACAGGCAGTGGGTTATATTTGACCTATGCACTGTAGTTTGCCAACCCCTGATATAGACAAATGTTGGGGGAGGTATTGGAGGTTCACTTTTTCCTCACTCCTGTCGATTCCTTCTTTCTGGAGGGAGCCCTTTTAACATTACCCTTGTGGCCTCTCTCCACCCTGGGGTGAGTTTAGAGGGAAAAACTGGCCATGCATAGCCCAGTAGCCCCTTCTTCTTCCCTATCTCTTAGTCATGAGCCACCTGAGGAGAGACACATCCTTCTCTGCTTCTCCAGGGTCCAACCCTGCCCTGCAGGGTGGAGAAGCCAGCCTGGCCAGGGCTCCGGGTGGGTGAGTCTGCCTAGTAATAGGGTTCAATATAAGACACCCTCTTGCCCTCAAGTATGATTCATATTCTCTAAAATTAGCTTCCTCCATAATCAGAGCAACAGTACAGTCTTCATATACTTGACTCTTGTTTTTTTTTAATTGGTTCAGAACTTGGGCAAGAGAGTGGGATGCTACTTGTTAGGTCCATCAGAGACCCTGCCTAGACATCCATGGATGACATTTTGATGAAGAGGGGAGGGGCAGGCAGGGCTCTGGCTTACCTCTGTGGCTCAGAGCAATGCATGTACCACGAGGTCTCCCCTTGTCCCAGGGTACCAGCCTGCACAGCTGAGTTGGAGCAGATGCCAAGTCGATAAGCTGGACAGTCTGTGACTGTGGTTTCCCAGTAATGCTGGCCACAGGCAGGCAGCTCCTCACCCAGCACTGATGGGATTCTGCAGGCAAAGTTGATCAGATTAAGCTTAGCTAGCACAGGAATTGCTGGCCTTTATCTCTCGAGCATCAACATTCACAAATGTGCACACAGTTTAGATAGAATTCCATCCTTGCAAACTGCTTCAATTTGACTGAAGACATTCTTTGTTTGTTGTGCCTATAACTTTGATCAGATTGTCACAGAATCCTCCAAACTCTCAACATGCATTTAACATATTTCCACTGTCACATACAACATGCATATATCACACACTGCATCTCTTGAAGGAAGTGGGAACCAGGAAATAACTAGAATAATGGCAAGACAAAAAGAAAAGGCACAATCTCTGCCTTTATGGAGAGGGAGGACATACAAGGGAGGCAGAAGGGGAACATGACTTGCAAAGTTTTCTTCCAAACCTTACAAAAAAAGAATCTTCAAAACCTTCTTTAACAATGAGTTCGAGTGTCTACTGACTTTACTCGACACAGTGACCAAATGAGGTGCAGCTCTTAAATGGCAAGGCAGCTGGTGAGGCCAGAGCAGAGCAGAGTGAGGAATTAACCAGGTGTGACTAGCATGCTTTGTGGAGGCTTGTGGTCCACAGTCTTCATGGCTCTGGCCTCTTTGGATTGTCGTAGGTGCCCCTGAGAAATTGGTTAAAGGTCTTTTTTTTTGTCTCACCTTGGCTATTTTTTACAAAGAGCCACAGTGAAATGAACCAAAGCACTTTCAACTGTTGATGGGTGACCTTGCTTGCATTAATTGCTCAGTTTTGCTTGGAAATGGCTGAGACAGCATGGAAGCATTTTTAATTTAAGCAGCATTAATATTCAGTCAGCATCCTCTCCCTCTTTCTTTAACAGATGAGAAAATGATTAATTCAAGGGAATGTATTTCACTTTCTCATGTCTTTACCCAACAACCTCATTTCAGAGAGGTGGCTACTGGCAAGCCCTTGCTCTCTGGAGCAAAGCCAGGCTACCTGATATTTATGAGCTAATTTTCAGGTTAATAATAAATAAATAAAATCTATAAAATACATTACAATTACCATCAGTTATTACCTATGAACTCTTACCAACCTCCAGTCTATTTCTTATCCTTTCTATTTTTTGAGAAATCCAAAAAATGACAGAAAAACCTAATCTACTTCTTAAATCTTTTAAAAATAAATATTGAATTCGCTCATTTGTATATTTTTAGCACCTACAGTGTTTCCAAGCCCCATGCTAGATTCTGGGGATTCAAAGATGCATAAGACAGGGCTACTGCTTGAGGGTTATTCATGATTGAGTGGCTGACAAATGACTACACAAATTCAGTCCTTTTACACAGATAAGATCAAAGGACGTCAGGGCCCAGAGAACACTTGGCCGTTTCCAGGAGCAGGTAACACTCGAGCTGGGCCTCAGACAGGCAGGGTGCAACCTCAGACAGGCAGGAAAACAGTGCAAGTCACCGTTGCCTGGTTTGTTGTGCTTTGTCATGAGCACTTGCTGGGCACATAAGCAGCCTCAGCAGCAGGTGTTTCACATGTGCTAGTTTTCGAAAGACTTTCACATACTTTCTCCCATTTGGCCATTCTGACCCTCAAAATCTCCACGAGAGGTTGCAGCAAACTGCAGGGCAGTCTCCCCCGCTTCCTCTGCGGCTGTCTCTTCTCTTTGATTCTTCCTTTTGGAGGAGTGTAGGGAAAGTGAAGGTAAATGGTCAGGGCCCCTCAGATGTTCAGAATCTTACTGAGTATTTGATGTAAATATGCACGTGTGCCCAGGTGTTCCTTGGTTATTGTCTAATGTAATTGTGCATGTGCACCCAGGTGTCCTGGGTTATGGACTTAAGTATAAAGGACGAGTGGCTCTGATCCACAGGGCCCCCCCACCCCTAGGATGTTCCTGGGGGTAGGGGGACCATGGTGAGGCCACTACTGCTGCTGCTGGATCTGCTAGAGGCTTCTATAAGCTGCTGCTGCCATTGCTGAAGAAGCTGGGGACTGAGCTCATGTCGTCTGCCAATGGCTCCCGGGACCTTTCCCAATTACCTAACGTGGACCTGCGTGTGAGGGGTCTGGGACCCAGTCGGTACAATGGGTTTGAAGGGTGTGAGCCCTAACCCTGACAGTACAAATGGAAACAGTATAACTAAAATAACGAAATGTTTTGGCTTTAGTTATGAATTGTCTGTAGCAATACAGTTGGCTATGTCGGCAAGAGTCTGTCAATAACCCCAACCAGATAATTCGCATAGCTATTGCTTTAACCCAACAGGGAGCTACTGGTGGGAGGGGGTAAGATTCTGTGGCCAGAATTAGGAACTCAATAAAATGTCCCTCTCCTCTATTCCTTTTCAAGTGGGTTCGTTCAAAATCCGGTTTGCTATTGAAAATAATGTAAGAATTACTGGACACTTTTCTTTTCATTGAACCAGAGATAATACCTTAAAACAGCCAATGTTTTAAACAAAACCATCTGTGCTGTATTTCCAATAAAAATATGGACACTCCAGGGTGCGAACTATCACTGCCACTTTCCCTGTAGTAGTGAGCCACAGCTGAGCTGCGTGTGTGCCATTATATTCCATCCACATCAAGGCATGTTCATTAAACCAGGAGCACGCCCCCGTGAGGCTGCGACACACGTTGAGCCTCCACTGCCGAGGCACCAGCTCACTTGTGCTTTCTTCTACTTACTCCGTCAGCCGTCTCCTCTCAGAGAAGCTGATCACTGTCCCATTTGAGGAAATTTGTAGAGCAGGGTGAGCTGTTTCTCTCAACAAGAGAAATCTGGTTCCTATTGCAGTTAAGAAAATAGGATTATAACATTGCCACAACATCAAGTGCTGTCCCTGGGCCAACCCCACATTTCAGACTTTAGTCTCCATTTCCCTTGACTTCAAAATCCCCCACTCAGTGTTTTCATTTCATTCATGGTAAGGCATTCGTAGATGCCAGTGGCTGGTTACCTACACCTGGTGCAGGTACATCCTCACAGGTGTATCCTGTACTAGAGCTCACTCTCCTATGCAAAGTATGCTCTTTGGACCAAGCAGCAAGTACATTACCTGGTGACTAGTTAGAAATGCACGGTCTGGGGGCCGGCCCTGTGGCTCACTCGGGAGAGTGCGGCGCTGGTAGCGCCAAGGCCGCGGGTTCGGATCCTATGTGGGGATGGCCGGTGTGCTCACTGGCTGGGCGTGGTGCGGACCACACCGTACCGAGGGTTGCGATCCCCTTACCGGTCAGAAAAAAAAGAAAAGAAAAGAAATGCACAGTCCTGGGCCCCACCCCAGACCTACTGAATCAGAATCTGTATTTTAACAAGATCCTCAGGAGATCTGTGTGCACATTAAAATTTGGGGATGCACTGGTGTCACCTAAAGGTGAGGTTCTAACAATGAAGGTGCAGGCACCATACCCGGACTATGGGGAAATATTTCTGGGCAGGCAGCTGTCATGTCTTCTCTTCATAAACGTCAGGCTGGCCCTAACTACATCACAAATAAGTTTTGCTGGTTAAGTTAATTAAATCATTTAATGTGCCCTCCTCAACCTTGTGCCATCTCGGGGTCTAGGATAAAATAATAAAACAGTCACCTTTCCATTCTTCACTTTTACAATAATTGAGAATACTCAAACATTTTTTGTTGGCATCATCTGGGTATTTTCCCCAAAATGTCATTGAACAGTTTTGTCACTTCCTTGAGTGAGCACTCAGTCATTTAGTCATTCATTTAACAAACATTGATTGGTACAAACCATGTGCCTGGCACGAAGAATAAACAGAAGAACAAGAGTGAAAACTTGTCCACAGAGTTCACAGTGTAATGGACTAGGAATATCCCCATCCTGCTACCACCTCACGCCACATAAACACAAACAGAACCACAAATTATAGCACACGTGAGTCAGACAAGAATCATCTAGGGAGATTTCTAAAGACACAAATGTCCAAGCTCATCCCCAGATCAATTAAATCAGGATCTCTGGGAGTGGGGCCAGGGCATCAGTATTTGCTAAGCACCCTGACTGATTGTTAATGGGTAGCCAAGGTTGGGAACTTCTAAAGCAGAAAATAAAAGAAACATCTTTAACTTTGACCTTTGGGTCAAAATATGTATGACAAAATAGGTAGCACTGATGGTAGGTTGGGGGCTTTCTGAAGATGTCCTCTAAGATGTACTCTTTGGGTGGTAGGAGGGAAGGGATGGAAATGCTTGTAAATAGCTCCTTGTGTATGAGGGGAAAGTACCTCTGGTGGAGATGAGGGCAGCCTCGCTCTGTTCACTTGTCCCGAATGCATTGATTGCTCTCACGTAGAAAAAGTAATTATCATTGGGTTGGAGGTTAACTTTCAGCTGGAGTCCTTTAATTCCAGAGAAAGATCTAAATACAAAGGAAAAATAATAATTTTAAATATAATGCCACACACTAAATAACTCATATTTCAATTCTATAGTGAATATATATCTTTTATTAACAGCAAATAACTTATTTTCTTCCTTTTTTACAACCACTGGAATTAACAAGCTAGATTCTGCAAAACAGCCATTGTCGACTAAGATTATTTTATCAAATCACTTCTATTCTTGTCAATTGTGCCCAGTATGTGCCTTCCAGGATGCTGTTTGGAACATAACCAAACACTTTTTTCTAATTCAGAAAGCAGACTAATGTGATTAATGAAACTCCAAGAATATATATATATATATATATATATATATTTTTTAACAATTTTTGTCTGAGAGGGTACTTTTGGATTATGATGATGTTAAACCAACCTATAATAAAAAGGACCCTAATTATCTCATTAACAAATCTGAATTGTGGAAAATTTAGGGTAAGTGATGATTTTATATGTGGTCATCATGCCAAAGCCACCAAGGTTGATAGAAACTGAAGAATTTTTAAAGAAGACCATATCTTTTATTTATTTATTTACTATTTTCTTTTTTTTAAAAGATGACTGGTAAGGGGATCTTAACCCTTGACTTGGTGTTGTCAGCACCACTCTCCCAACTGAGCCACGGGCCAGCCCTAGAAGACCATATCTTTTAAAACAAACAATTCTTGCAAGAAAAGAGAATTCTAACTGCCAAAAAACCCTTCAAAATTGCTATTTCTAAACAGCCCATTTAAATGAAAAGTGCTGGTGGTAGTACCTACTGGGCAGTGGGGTTGGCAAGTACACTGGAACAGCCCAGCCATTTAAATACAGATGGATTTGCTTTTTAGCTACATGAAAACTTCAAAAATTTTGGAATTTGAGATCTGAAGAATGGCACACTTCTATAGATTATGTTTTTTTTTTAATTTCAAGAACAAAAACTTGTCATAATTGCAACAGAATCCACATGACTTAGAATGAGCTTTGCATAGTTTGCAGTAGAATTCAAGTTCACAGAATACCCAGACTGAAGTATGCAGTGATCAAATAGCAAATGGAACAACAGTAGGTTGTTGGTGCTTAGATAAAAAAGGATTTTAGACCAGTAGTAATATGACCGATGTGGCTATGATTAGAAGTCTAGAGCCAAAAATAAGAAATATGATTCAAATGGTCTCACTTTGGGTCCTAAGTTTGGGATTCTCCCTACAAGTGCCACAATGCAAAGGAAAGGGATAGCTTTATGTGTGGTAGTTCCAGAGATACAAGAGCAAAGAACATCACCCAGAAATCCTGACACAGCAGCAAATGAGCTGAGTGCTGGGGAGCATAAGCACAGTTGGGAACTTATGATAGACCTCCTGTGCCTGGCAGGTCCTCAAATGACACTCAACATACTCATCTCTCCACGGTAGGAGAAAGGACATTTGTTAAGTTCCAGTGCTATAAAGCAGAGAGAGATGAATTAGAGGAGACCCACTTCTCCTCAGAAGTCCTAAGGGCTGCCATGTGAATGAGAGGCTGGTCTCCTCCCCTGTTGTTTCAGAGGGCAAACAAATGGAAGCCACCAGGAGCCTGGTGACTGCTCAACATAAAGACAGCCTTTCCAGCTTGAGCCCTTTCATTTTTGGGTTTATGCAAGGAATGATTGGAAAGTTTGCCACAACTAGCCATGGACAAGAATAATTTTAAGAGGGAATTGAAAAGGATCTTTATGAAGTAAAAAATCATCAGGGACATAATGCTTAAGGGGAAAATATTAAAAGAATTACCATTAAGTCAGAAAGAGAAATAAGCTTTAAAAAAAAAATTGGGATTAGGGAGAAATTGGTAAAGGGCCACAAAAAAATGTTTACTTTGTGTAATGATAAAAAAATTTTTTAAATTTAAAAGTAAATAATAAATAAATTTAAAAATTGGGAGATAGGAGGTAAAATTATTACCATTTGCAGGTGATATGACTGTTCATGTAAAAAAACCCAAGAAAATCAGCTGAAAAACACTTACATAAGAAGATAATTCAGCAAGATGGCTAGATAGGAAACTAATACAAGAAATCACAGCCTTCATATACAAATAACAACTAGATAGAAGATAAAAGAAAGGTCTTATTCAAAATAGTGACAAACACAAAAATGTATAAGATTTATATAAAGAACATTTTTAAAGATGCTACTGAGGGAAAACAGACAAAAGACTTGAATAAAGGGATAAGCACATCAGTTCTTGGATAGAAAAAAAATGCAAAATCACAAAAATTTCAATTCTAAGTTAAATATAAATTTAGTGTGATCTCTAAAAATAAATTGTCAGGGGCAGACTGGTGGAGGAAGCTACACAAGCTATTTCTAAATATTATACAAAATATAACCTAGCAAAAAGCAAAAAAAGAAAAGAAAATCATTAAGGGGCAACCTAACCTACCAAGCATTCTAATTATAGGACTATAACAGTAAAAACAGTATGGTACTGTGGCATAAACAGATTGATCAATAGAACAGATTATAAAGATAAGGAATAGAGCCAAACACATAGTCCCATAAGTACATAATAATGGAAATTTTTCAAATCAAATGGGAAAATGATGGGTTTTCTTGTCAAAATGGTTTATTAGCCATACTTAAAAAAATAAAGTTAGATTCCCTACTTCACTTTCTATTGAAATAAATTCCAGATGGTAAAATATTTAGTTTTTAAAAATGAAATTAGACTTTTCTGATCTCAGTGGCAAAATTGCTGACTAGAGGTGCATGGGGTGTGTTCCTCTCACAGAAAAGGACCAGAACAACTAATAGACAACTAAATACTGACAGATGCATCTGTGGAAGAATGTGGAAGCATCTGTAGGAGTGTAATAGGAGACTGGCAAGATCCTGGCAGAGCATGAAAGCACAGGATAGCAGCACAGAGGAGAGAGAGGCACACAGCCTCAGCCACCAAGTCTCTGCCAATGGGATCAGCACAGGAGAGACTTTCCCCTGTGGGAAAAAGGTAGGACATGGGCCCACACCAACCCCCATCCTCACCACAAAGGCCTGCAGTTCCTACTGCCATTGCCCTCAAAAGTCTGGAGCCAAGTGTAGGGAAGCTGCCTAGAATACACACACTGCATTGCTCTAGAACAGGAGTACATATTGTATATTTCCCATGCCCCATCCTCATGACCCAAGCCAATGCAATACGGTGCCATCTTGAAATCAGAGACACTACAGAAACACGGCCTGCCGTAAGGCCAGTACCAACTGTGCTTTCTCAGTCTTCAGGCTCCACCATCATCCCAACATACTTACACAAAAGGCTAAACACCCAGACCCCAGCAGCTTGAAACCTGAGCCTAGGAGCAGCTGTGACTCTTGTCCTGAACATCTGGGAAGCCAATGTGAGGCCTGTTAAACTGATGTGCCCCCAAATCCTTGACTGGAGATTAGACAGGCAGACCCACCTCAAACAGAAATCTTGTCATTGAATAATTTATTGAATGAAATAAGTTATACCTGAGTGTCTCAATAACAGTCTAGATCAAGCAGAAGAAAAAAATTCTGATCCTGAAGACAGTTATTTTGAAATAACTCAGGAAGATGTAAAAAAGGAAAAAGAATTAAAAAGAATGAACAAAGCCTACAAGATTTATGGGATAGTATTAAGCAAACAAATATTTGAATTATGGGTATTCCAGAAGGAGAAGAAATCAAAAAAGGTATTAAAAACATGTTTAATGAAATAACAGCTGAAAACTTTGCTAGTCTTGGGAAAGATACAAACATCCAGATCCAGGAAGCTCAAAGATTTCCAAATAGATTCAACCCAAAAAGATTCTCTATGAGACGCATTGTAATCAAACTGTCAAAAGTTAAAGACAAAGAGAGTTCTAAAAACAGCAAGAGAAAAGTGTCAAGTCACTTATAAGGGAATCTGTATTAGACTAACCACAGACTTTTCAGCAAAAACCCTACAAGCCAGGAGAGAATGAGATGATATATTAAGTTCTGAAAAGAAAAAAAAAGAACCGTCAGCCAAGAATATTATACACAGCAATGCTATCCTTCAGAAATAAAGGAGAAATAAAGCCTTTCTCAGACAAGCAAAAATTAAGGGAACTCATCACCACCAGACCAGCTTTATAAGAAATGCTTAGGGGAGTCCTACAACTAAAAGAGAAAGAATAACAACTATCATAAAAACACCCCAAAATATAAACCTTACTGGTAGAGTAAATATGCAAATTAGAAACAGAAAGGAATCAAAGCTTGTCAATACAGAAAACCACAAAACTATGAGGATAAACAATAAGAGAGTAAGAAAGAAACAAAGGATACACAAAACAATCAGAAAACAACTGACAAAATGACTGGGCTATGACCTCACATATAAATAATAACTTTCAATGTAACAAATTTAATGCCCCAATTAAAAGACATAGTATGGCTGAATGGATAGAAAAACATGACCCAACCATATGCTGCCTATGAGAAACATATCTTACCTACAAAGACACACATACACTGAAAGCGAAGGGATGGAAAAAGATATTTCATGCAAATGGAAAACAAAGGCAAGCAGGAGTAGCTATATTCATATCAGATAAAACAGACTTTAAATCAAAATCTGTACTAAGAGACAAGGAAGGGCATTATATAATAAAGGGATCAATAAAGCAAGAGGATATAACAATTATAAATATATATGCAACCAACATCAGAGCACCCAATATATAAAGCACATATTATCAGATCTAAAAGGAGAGATAGACAACAACACAATAATAGTTGGGGATTTTATCACCTCACTGTCAGCAATGGACAGATCATTGAGACAGAAAATAAGTAATGAAACATCAGATTTAAATGGCACCATAAACCTGATGGGCCAAACAGACATTTACAGAACATTTCATTCATAAGCTGCAGAATACACATTCTTTTCATCAGCACATGAAATGTTCTCCAGAATTGAAAATATGTTAGGCCACAAAACAAGTTTCAACAAGTTCAAAAAAACT